CCCCCCCCCCCCCAACCTCTCAATGAGGAGTCGGTGAGGAGTCGGTGAATAGTCCGATTGCGCCACGTGGCTGGAAATGTTCCAAGATGCACGTTTCTTTTTTGCCTTTTGCCTTCCTGGAAATGTTCCAAGATGCACGCCCGGCATTATGGCTCTCATGTCACTGCTACTCCCGACAAGTCCCCCACCCGAAGAGCAACTGCCAAGCAGATTGAATGCTGATTGTTTCATTCATACAATGCAAAACCTGCTTAACATCAGCGGCACTCCTATAGTTGGAGGCACCTTCCAACAACTTCCCTGGGCCAATCATCACTGACATCATCGGAGCCCACCAAACTGAGACTCACCCACACGCTCATGCACTTGCACACATAGCGTCAAAAATCAACAAGTAAGCACGGGGCATACATGCAAGATCGCTTGATCACGAACATATCCAGAGAACACAGCAAACAAAGTCTGATTCAAAAGGGCCTTTACCCGATATAGGCCTCAGGCCTTGTAAAAATAAAGCAGCACGGGCCTTGAAAAAGTAAAGCATTGTGAAAAGGTATCTCGCCAGGGCTCAGAAACGTGCAAGCCGGTCAAAGGTTAAGTTCTCTACCAACAGGCACATCTAAATCTAAGGCAAAGGGCATTGTCAAAGGACTTACCTGTTCACCAGGAGCTGTGTATGTCATGTCTGTTCGGATAAGAGTGTGTCTGTACGTGCAGGCAGTGTACCTGTTCGTGCGAAGGAAAGTGTCTGTTCAAGCAGTAAATGTGTCTGTTCGTTGAGAGTTGTGCCTGTCCGAAAGTAAAGTCAATAGGCACAGTCCCAGTTTTGGTCTAAGTCAAGGGGTCAGTCCAGATCCAGACTTTCAAGTCCAAATACAGGCCGAGAGGCCTTAGCAGTAGTTGAACTTCATTGGGACTCTACTGGGACATATGCAATGCAGGGTCTGGGACTAAGGGAAGGCCGAATTGAGCCAATGCAGACCCAGCGAGGAGTAGTCAGCACTATAAAGAAAGCTGCCTGCCTCATTCCTCGCCAGATCTCCACTGGCTTGAATGCGTGGAAGTGCTGGTGCACTTGTGCGTTAGTCAGTAGGAGTAGCGCTGGAGGAAGGAAGATGCGCTAAGAGGGAAGAAGAAGACTGTGCGCTGGAAGGGATGCAGCCATAGCTGCCCAGCGAGTTAGTAAGTAGAGTAGAAGGGTGAGTACTATTCAGAGTAGATCCTTGTGAGAACAGTGTGTGCATGCATCGTAGGAGGAAGAGATTGAGACGAAGAGTGTTCATTCAAGGTTTGGCTGGGAGACATTTACCTGAGTTGGTTGTGAACTGCAGAGTTGGCGCTGATGAGTTGTGACCATATTGATGACTAGGAGACAATCTGCAGGGGTAGCGCTGATGCCTTGGAAGGCATATTGATGAGTTGAGCAGAGATTTGTGTTGCGCTGATGAGCGCTGGACTCAGGGGAACTTTGAAACACTTTGTAATCATATTTCTGATAATATAAGCTGTGAGACTCGGTCCTCTTCTTCTCTACCTTTGTCTATGGTTGAGACTATTGATCACTGCGTGTGAAGATGATGCATGACATGTACACATCTGCGTGAGATGGTCCCCAGGACCCATGCAGATTCTGAATCTTTACCAAAAACATCAACGGGACGACGGACTGGATTTTCGCAGAAAAGTCCAGAGTTCTTGCACAGCACAAAACAAAAACGATGCTGCAAACGTAACAGCTCCCCAAACAAAACACGCAAAGATAAAGAAAAAAGAATGTTCGGTGGTGTTCCCTGCTATTTTCTTGCACGCGGGTTTTCATCTGCTCTCAGGCTCTTCTTTTTCTTATTGTGAAAGAAGGGGCATATGATAGGGCAGTTCCTTATGCGTTTTCTTTCTTTTGTGCTTTTTTATTTTTCTGTTTTTGCGGGCGAAGCCGCAACGGGTCATCTAGTGCATATATGTATATGTGCAAGTGTACCGCTTCGATGACAGACGGGTGTGTGGGAACTTGGCGCTGAGCCACACAAACGTGGCCAACCATGCATTTTTTATTATATTGTCTATCTATGCTTTTTCGTTATGGATGGTTTGTTATGATTTGTGGAGGAAATGAGAGAGAGAATTTGGG